TTGGCAAGACTAGACTACATCAGAGCTAGCATGCAAGCAAGTCTACTGCCAGCACAGCACGGTCGACCGCGTGCCAACACGACTTGGTCGACCGCGCTCCAGCAGTGCAGAGTCGCGGCTTGCCAATGCTGCAAGTCGACGGCGTGCCAACGTCGCAGGTTGACGGCGTGCCAACGTTGCTCCCGCAGGACAGCAGCGCACCCGCTTCGCAGGTGCTCGCAGATGATTGGTGTGCAGTGCCTCGTCACCTGCACAACGCACACACCAAGTCAACTTCGTGCTGACGACAGCTTCTGATCAGCCACGTCGACCTCGGGATACCATCACCAAGGTCGGTCTCGCCAAAACCACATGGGCGACCATCGCACTCTTCCGCAGAACCTCGTCACCCAGGTAACCTGGTCGACCGGGCAACCATGTCGACCAGCTGCTCCTGTATGTGCCCGTCGACCTCCCAAGTCGACGGCCACCTCCAGTCGACCTCACCAGGTCGACCACTACTCCCTGGTCGACCAGCTCTAGGTCGACGTCACTCCTGGTCGACCAGCTCCTCGTCGACCAGCACAGTTGTCAGCCGACCCCCAAAGTTGGCTACCTGAAGTCGGTGTCACCAAGTTGACGCCCTGCTACTCGACGCCCAGCAGCTCGGCGTCCTGAATCCCTCTGTCGAGGTCGACGTCGGCCCCTCCTACTTCGACCATCGTGTTCGGTCGACCACCAGGTCGACATCACGCCTGGTCGACCAACCACCAAGTCGACCAGCAGGCCTGGTCGACCAACCAAGTTGGCCAGCAGGTCTGGTCGACCAACCAAGTTGGCCAGCAGGCCTGGTCGACCAACCAAGTCGACCAGCAGGCCTGGTCGACCAACCAAGTCGACCAGCAGTTCTATCAGTCGACCACCCAAGTCGGCTGCCCCAAGTTGGCGTCACCAAGTCGACGCCCTCCACAGGTCGACTTCCCAGGTCGACCTCCCTGAAGTCGGCGCCATCCAGATGTCGGCGCGCATGCAGTGGTATCCGTGCAGGTCGGCTGCACCCCTACACCCGACCACAAAGTCGGCTCCGCCCAAGCGAGGACGGGGCCAACACACAACTCCCGTTGACATGTCCCACGCTACTCCTCCCCCTTCGGTAGCCCCTTAGGTGTAGCCTCCTTCCCCATAGTCCTCCTCACAGCCTAGTGTTGACCCTGAGGGAGCCGTGTGTCGAGGACCTTGGGGGTGCTACCTCTGGAGGTGTTGGAGTTGGAGCAGAGAGCGTACCTGTGCGAGGTCCAGGTTCTAGGGGTGCTGGAGTTGGACCTGAGCTCGTGACTGCAGGAGACCCTCGTCTTCGGAAAGCTGGTGTTAGTGGAGCTGTCCCTGGGGGCGCTACGGCTGGGGGTGTACCCTCTACTGGACCTGGAGAGCCTGGGACTGACCCTGTTACTTCTGGTGGTGCTGGCTTTTGGGGCGGTGCGACTGGTGCTTTATAGAGCAGTCCTGGGGCTACCACCACCCCGAACACTACACCTCCCCCCCATCCCTATCTGACCCGACACCAGGCCCGTGCTCGCCGTGCCCGTGAGGAGCAGCTGGAGTTGGAGCGAGAGGAGAGAGAGTTGGAACAGCGGCTAGAGCTACAACGGCTAGTGCAGCAACAGCAGCAGCAGCAGGCACAGCAGCAGGAGCAGCCGTAGCAGCAGGAGCAGTAGCAGCAGCCGCAGCAGCAGCAGCAGCAGCCGCCACCTCCTCCTCCTGTCTCTGGTCTTCGGACCCTCGGTCTCCCCTCTCCCTCTCCTCCCTCCTCCCCCTCTCCTCCCGTCTCTGGTCCTCCGCTTCCTCCTCCTGACCCCTCCCCAGCTGTTTTCCCTCCTCCTCAGCCCCCGTTGTCCCCTCCTCTTTCTCACACTTGGCCTTTGCGTCGCTCTCCTCGTGCTCATCCCTCGTCCCCTGTTCCTTTCTCTGACCTTCGTACTGCCCTGTTTTGTTCTAGTCTGTCTCGTTCGTCTCCTTCTGTACTTCCTTCTCCTCCTGAGTCGGCCCTCACTGCTTCCCTCTCTACTCCTGTCACTGACTACTACCGCACGTACCGTCCTGTTCTCTCTCGTGTTCTCGCCTCTCTTGTTACCGACCCTCGTGCCTCTCTGTCCTCTGTGTCCGCTCTTACTGCCGCAGTTATTGAGTTTGCTTCTACTCGCCACCAGTCTTGTGGCTGCTCCTCCTACCAGTCCTCTGGCCATCGGGGGTGAGTCTGCCCTTGGCTGTGACGCCCTAGAGGATAGGCAGTTTGAGCTAGAGTTCCTGGCAGCCGCTTCCCCTCATCTCTGTGCCATGCTGCTCGCCCCTGAGGGAGACCCCGACGCCCTTGACTTACGCACTTACACTGAGGCAGTGTCAGGGCCTTGGGCCTCTCAGTGGAGAGCTACCATAAACTCAGAAATGGCCTCCTACAGATCCACAGGCACCTACGTTGACGAGGTTCCCCCCCCTGGGGCGAACGTAGTCGATGGCATGTGGATCTTCAGGGTGAAGCGGCCACCGGGATCTCCTCCGGTCTTCAAGGCGCGCTATGTGGCTAGAGGTTTCAATCAGCGCGAGGGAGTTGACTTCTTTCAGACCTTTGCGCCTACCCCGAAAATGACCACTCTTCGGGTGTTACTACACGTAGCAGCACGAAGAGACTACGAGCTACACTCTCTCGACTTCTCCACTGCCTTCCTTCAAGGTAGCCTACACGAGGAGGTCTGGTTACGTCGTCCCTCTGCCTTCACTGGCACTTTGCTTCCTGGGACCAAGTGGAGGCGTAGGCGGCTGGTCTATAGTCTCCGTCAGGCTCCTCGTGAGTGGCACGAGACTAGTCTTTTTACCCTGTCTGACCTCGGTTTCGAGCCGTCTTCTGCCAACCTGTCGATGTTTGTTCGTCGCGGCTCCACACCGTTCTTTGTACTGGTCTACGTCAACGACCTGGTTTTCGCCACTGCTGACAGGGTTGCTTTGGCTGACGTGAAGCGCGAACTGCAGAAGAGACACACGTGCACTGATCTTGGTGAGCTGCGCCACTACCTTGGCCTGCAGATCACCAGGGACAGAGCTGCTCGCACCATTACACTCTCACAGTCGCACATGGTGCAGCAGGTCCTTCAGCGGTTCGAGCTTCAGCACTCCACAGTACAGCGCACACCTCTTGCTGTTGACCACAGACTCACTGGACCCTTTCTTGACGAGCCGTTTGAGCCTAGTGGTCCCTATGCAGATCTTGTGGGCTGCCTCATATACCTGATGACTTGTACTCGCCCGGACCTCGCCTACCCTCTCAGCATCCTTGCTCGCTTTGTTGCGCCAGGGAGACACCGTCCTGTTCACTGGACCACTACTGTGAGGGTGGCAAAGTAACTAGCGACGACATCAGGCATGGGGTGGTATTTGGAGGGACACAGCCGGTCGTCCTTACTGGTCACTGTGACTCTTCTTACGCTGACGACGCCGAGACTCACAGGTCTACTCAGGGTTACTGTTTCAGCCTAGGCTCTGGAGCTGTTTCGTGGAGGTCCACGCGCTCCTCCTCGGTCTCGACCTCTACCGCTGAGGCTGAGATCTACGCTGGAGCCATGGCTGCACAGGAGCTGCGTTGGTTGACCTTCTTGCTCACAGACCTTGGTGAGCGGCCAAGCTCTGCACCGACCTTGTTCACTGACAACAAGGCGGCGATTCTTCTCTGTCAGGAGCCTCGACTAGAGAGCAGAGTGAAGCACATCAACGTCAGGTACTTTCTTCTGCGAGAGTTGGAGAGGTGTGGGCAGGCTCGCTTGGACTTTGTGGAGTCCGAGGCCAACACTGCCGACATCTTCACCAAGGCGCTTCCGCCTTGTGACCACCACAGGTGTTGTGTGCAGTTAGGTCTCGTTGACTCTGGTTCTCGTCTTGCATAGTCGTTGCTTGTTGTCTTGTACTCATTACTTATATACTTGTGAACTCTTGAACTGGCCTTGTGGCCCTTTGTTTGCACTCAGAATGTGTGGTGACGTTGTGATCCACCCTGAGCTTTGTTTGTTTGTGACATGTCTTGTGACCGTACTCTTTTGTTTTTGCTAGACACCCCTCACTTAGGCTATGGGGGTGTGTTAATTGTTGTAGCCTGTAGTGAGGCTTGTCTTAGGGGGTACAAATATTAGG